CAGTCTACGTTCTGTCTCGTGCGAAAATATCGCACCCCATCGACGTCTGGGCAATCTGCGTCCTTGTACGCGTCACTTGCTGTGTTCTATTAAGACGAAACGGTTCCATGCTTTTTAGAATTTGCCCTTTCCTTTTATCAGTAAATGAGTCAAGGATTCCAAAAAGAATATACACATATTGTTTTTCGAATATAGGCCTATATACACTATGTAAATTTCGAATATACGCGCCCTATGTATAATTCAGTAACTTATATATAATATATATGACCCATGTAAATTTAATTTGATTCATATTTCATATTGTCGCATATCTGACGGAAAGAATTAATATGGAATACTCAATATTACGGAAATGAGGGAAATTTCGCATCAGCTGTGGCTTAATGAACAAGAAAACGATTAGACTTTGACCTAATTCAATCCATTTTACGGAATATAAGTAGGGCATACATTGCAATTATCAAATACCAAAAAAGAACAGTTACCAAAAAAAATGAATACAATACATTATGGAAATATTTTCCGATATATTCTATTATAGGTGACTGACCTTTATTGAAACTTTAAACATTTTTGAATAAAATTACTTTTGAAATTTGTTATTAAACATTCAACTTTTAAATATGTATATTTTTCTTAATATCGGGTCCGAAATATCGTTCTGATAGGGAATGCCGTGATCCAGACATAAACGGCGCCAGATTACCACTCCCTATGAGGCTACATTATTCGGGAATGAGTCAGACGACGTCTGCCTTCGATATCGATTTGCACTCGAACGTTTCACCTCTGTAGAAGTAAAGGATCAGCGAGCATCCTATTATGCAGAATTGGTACACTGCACCCGAACGTCGGGACCACGTTAGTTTTTACGTCAACAATTTATTTATCGAGCCAGCTAGAGTAGTAACACGCAATAGTGACGAAGTGGGTGTTTTATACCGTATACGCAATCCCAATGGGTGTGGCTCTGCCTCCAGACATAGAGATGGAATGGAGCCAAATAGTGATCCGAGATACAGCTTCCTATATCGAAACTACGCTTCCAATAAGTTTTCATTATTAATAATTACAAGCTTTTGTGAAAGTTAAAATCTGTTCAAAAGTTACTAATTTATCAATATTGAGCAATAGATTTTATTATTTTGTTTTTGCATTAAGATGTACTTTTAAATCCTGGACTTAATTTGATTAACTATTCTTTAAAGTAATTTATAAACTCTGGAACCACGCTGATGATGATTGGTAAATAACCCGTTTAGTAACCTCTGACATCATCGAAAACCGCAGTGCTGTTATCACATCCTACCGTAATCTACTTCCGGCGCTGTTCTGACGTTAGTAGAAACTCGGTCGACATCTCTTCTATGTTCAATGTATGTGTGTATTGGAAATGAATAATAATTATTTCTGCGAATTCGTCGAAAAGAAACTCTAGAATCTGCGAAATCTGAAGTAGGCAATCTTCGTTTTATTTCATTTACCGATCGACAAGAATCTCTATTTATTTGTTTGTTTTTAATGGAAATAAAAGCATAGTCAATGGGCAAGTTTAAAGCGCTCTTAAATTTAATTTGACTTTCATTTTTTATTCGTAGACGTATAGAAAATTTTCGGTTTTGTGTTATTCTTATCTAAATTTTTCCTGGTTAATTTTTAAAGCCGATTAATGCTCTATTTTACTTAAAATTTAAAAGTTTTCGTAGTAATTGATGAAATTGGATCAATTTTAGTAAGGTTAAGCTTTTATAGAACATACGAAATTTCCGTAATGATCAATATTGTTGTTGTTTGACACCAGATTGTTGCTATGGTAATTCTATCATCCAATAGAAATTTAAAATTATTACAGAATAAAAATTTTATTTGATGAATTTAAAATAATTTGATATTTATTGCAACCCATAATTTTAAGTGCATTATTTTAATAATATTTTTAGAAATAAAATATAATGTCTTATCTGCGATACTATAATTTCCTTGATAGAGCTGCAATATGACGTATCACATCAATTTAAAGATAATCTTAAAGATAGGACGAAAGCGTTATTAGCCATTATGCTATTCGTTTATCGCACATTTCAGTACAATTACTGATGTTTTTTACATTTTTTTATTGAATATTTTTCAAATTATTCGAGTTATTCTTGGTCCCACTTATCTCATCGAAGCGTGACCATTATTAATATTTATTATAAGAATCGGTTCCTGTTCAGTTGCCTGGTATTTAAAATTTTCGAAATGGCACGTTTCTTTAAATTTCATTCAAAGGCCATGATCTAATTATCAATTCATAATAAAGAAAATAAATTAATAAATAATTTTATTGGAGAAAAAGGAGACTGAAAAGTATTATAATTTAGCTGCAATTTGAAAATAATTGTAGGCCTATAAATTTCCACTGCCGTCCATCCTTCCGTCCGTCCGTCTTTCCTTAATCTCGACAATAAAATTAGATAGATGAAATCCGAGATCAGATGTAAAAACCTTAGAGGATAGAAAGCCCGATTAACTATATATGAACTTCCGATATGAACTGGAATTCATGTTATTTCAATCCAAAAGTTTTCTCTGAAAGTAGTTAATAGATGATCGGCACGACTCTATTATTAAAAAAAAGTATGATGTACTGTACATACAGACATTACTAATTTGAGGGGGAGAGCATGTTTTAAATGAAATAAATTAAAAATATGATTAAAAATTACAGCCCGGCATTGTGACGATCTCACAATAAATAATCATTCGTTATATTTTATTTAGTAATTGCTTCTATGTTATTTCTCACAGTTAAATTGATTGTTATGTAAAACTAAGTTACTATCACACTTACTGATTTTTAAAATGATAAAATATGTGTAAAGGCAGTCCTGTAAAGTCAGCTCTTTCTAATTTAGAATTCTGTTGGCAACATAGAACATATCGAGGTGTCAATATCATCGACCTTTACATCTGAATTGTTCTACTAATTGAAATAAACCAAGTTTATGAGCCTAATACATATTTTTCCAGGAAAGAAAATAGAATAAATGACAAATTTATTATGTAATAAACTAAATAATAATAATAATTATTGTTTTAATATTTCCTTACATGGACTTAAAATGGCTACTTTGATGTTGAAAGTTTAAATTAAATGAGGTCAAGATTTGGTCTTATTTGATCTAAGGAAAAACTCACAATAGCTTTTATGTTATATTTCTCCTCCTTCAAAATCGCCCTTTGTTTATATGTAATTAGATCGTAAAAGAAATTCGGTGACTGATTAGACTACGTATTTATTAAACAACAACCGAAAAAATTCAGTATGAAAATCATTCCTAAGTACTGGCATAGAAATACCTGAGAAAAACTCAATAGAAAAGCTATGTATCATTTTGTTAGCAGAAATTTTTAAATAAATAAACGTAAAATGTAACAGCGAGAAAATTTATAAAAATTATTTATATTAATTGCATAAAGCTTTTGACTTGCTAGATATGGAAATTTTTCGATTCAAGGTATGACTCAATTATCTTCAAACTGGATAATACGCCCACGGATAATTGTGAGTAGCACGTTAAGTTCACTTACTTTTATTAATATTTTATAATGACTCTTAGTTTTAAAGTATTTCTAACCTAAGATATTTATTTTCACAAAAAAGAAATGATAAGTATACACACAAGTGCATTATAAAAGCACCAACTATCGAAATGGGTTCATTTACCTCCAATTATGTTACCGTCTATCCTACATAATAAATTCAATATTTTAAGCACATATTTTATTTGTATTCTACTAAGAAAAGTTTGATATTCTCATTATTGTAACTTAATTATAATTATTACTTATATTTACTTAATTATCAAGTATAAAAGGAAAAATATTTCGCAAATCAGGAAAATAAAAGAATCACTTAAGGAAAATAGAATTAAATTATTTTAAATATATTAATAATAAAATAAATAAAATTTCGTTATCTAAACTTTTAAATATTGTTGTATTTATTATAAATCGAGGTTTCAATTTAGTATCTTTCATAAGCTAATATTCTTTTTATCTCAGAATTCTCAGAAATTCGTCTTCTGCTTATTACTGTACTATTAAAGCATTTGCATCTTTAACCTATTTGGCAACTTAAATTTCCAATTATAGCAGGAAAGCGGCAAAATTATTTTTGAAACAAGATTTATTTTCAAATGACAAATATGAATAACATATTCTGCATTCTTGCATTCAATAATAATTAATCAATCTATATAATGCTACATGCTATTTATATAATAATATTATTATTAACTTATTCTTATATACATACGGCAAATTTTATGCCCATTATTANAAGAAATGAAACTACAAATTTTAATTTTGACTTTGAGTTTTAAAGTAGCTTTATTTCAATTATTCATATCTCAACTATAATAAATTAACAAATACACTGGAACCCTGGTTAACAAACATCCTGGTTAACGACCAAATCGGTTAACAAACAAAATTCGGATAACGAACTTAATGGCTTTTTGTGTCAAATTTGTAAGCTTGCTTTCATGAAACTTTCTGAACCACTTACAGCACGTGGAATCATCAATGGCTCCCTCACCATACACAGAACATATCTTTTTTTTTGTGTCTGCGAAGCATTCTTGCCTTTACGGAAATAAAAAAGCATAATATGTCAAAAATGCTCCTTATTTTCTGCCATTTGTAATGCTTAACAAAATGTTAAAAACACAACTAAGTAACACAATTTTATTCTCAAATACTAGCTGAGATCCCTTTTGTCAAACAACATCGAAATTTTACACATGCAAAAGAAATAACACTTCACTGTTGCGTTTTTAGCCAGCTGGTGCTAAAAACAGGATGAACTTTTGCATCAACCCAATAGTTTCCAGCCATTCTGGAACTTCACAAATTTCAGTTGCTCTTAGGTGTGTGCGAGGTAAGCATTGCTTTTTCGAATGTGCTAAACTTCGTTTTTTAGTTTTGTGATTTATACTGTATATTTAATCAATATGGCACCGAAGAAAGAGAAAAGTGACTGTAGAAATAGAAAACGTTTTAGTGTAGCATTGAAGAAAGAAATTATTGCAAAATACGAGAATGGCATTTGTGTTTCTGACATCGCTAAAGAATATGATGTGGCAAAATCGACTATCTCTACAATTATTAAGCGTTATTAAGCAAAAAAGCATTTAAGGCTGCCAAAGTGGCTAAAGGAGTAAATGTGATATCGAAACAAAGATCTAAAGTTTTGGATGAAGTTGAAAAACTGTTGCTAATATGGATCAATGAAAAGCAACTTGCTGGAGACAGTGTTAGTGAAGCTATAATTTGTGAAAAGGCTAAAAATTTATACAATGACTTGCTGACTCAGACACCCAGTACAAGTGCAGACAGGCAGGACTTTAAAGCGAGCCAAGGGTGGTTTGATAGGTTTCGTCGACGAACTGGCATTCACAGTGTCATAAGACACAGGGAGGCTTCAAGTTCAGATGAAAAAGCAGCAAAAGCATTTGTAGATGAATTCGCAGAGTTTGTAAAAAGTGAAGGATATATCTGGAATCAAGTGTTTAATTGCGATGAGACCGGTGTTTTTTGGAAAAGAATGCCTAGACAAACGTGCATAACCCAAGAAGAGAAAGCACTTCCCAGGCACAAGTCAATGAAGGACAGACTTACTCTTTTATTTTGCGTTAATGCAAGTGGTGACCTCAAAATCAAGCCACGTTTAGTCTACAACGCTGAAAATCCCTGTGCCTTTAAGAGCAAAAATGTGATAAAGTCCAAACTGTCTGTACAATGGAAGGCAAATAGTAAGGCATGGGTAACTCGGACTTTATTCATGGATTGGCTCACAGAAGTGTTTGCTTCTGCTGTTAAAAATTATCTTCAGGAAATGGATGTTCCTCTTAGATGTCTTCTCTTAATGGATAATACTCTAGCATATCCACCAAATTTGGAGGATGACTTGAATAGTGAACATGACTTCATCAAGGTCAAATTCCTTCCACCCAACACAACTCCATTACTGCAACCAATGGATCAGCAAGTGATTTCCAATTTTAAAAAGCTGTATNGATGGCAAGAAATTGTACAAAATAATGGTGAATACATTATAGATTGAAATAAAATTTAATTAAAATTTTTTGTTGCTTTTTTTTGTAGATAAAAATATGCATGAACTTATAGACTGACCTGATATTTTTATTTCAAATGTATTTTTAATTTTATATAAAGTGCCACCACCAGACAGAAGACAAGCAGCCTATAAAGAAAGGTCGACTCCGCTGTGAAATTGTTAATTCCTCAAATGTGCATTTGAAAGGACTGGATTAGAATAAAGACACATTTGTATGTATTGTCTTTACAAAAATCTTTAAAAAAAGATTCCTCAATGATCATCTAATTTCTCTTTAATTCAATTTGCACATTTTTTCTAACTAAATTAATTTATCACAATTTCTATTTGTTAAGAGACAAAAGTATAATACAATACAATAGTATGTTTTTAGAAAGTCCAATACTGATATTCCTAGTTTAATAAAGTTTGATTTTAATAAACTCTGGAGTGAGATTGTTTTTCTTAAGTGTAGATCTTGAAACTTGAATAGTGTGTTAAAAATTATGATTATTCAATTCAGCCAAGATATTAGATTTATAAAAAAACATAATATACCAAATAACAAATATTCTATTTATAATGTTAAACAAAGAAGCCAGTTAAAAAATACTTGCATCCAATTTACTTTTATAGTAGTAAAATTTTTGAAAAATCTTTTATTAACTTACCCACATTACCATTCTCTAATAACTGTATATCTGGACGTAAACGACTGTCAGTTGGTGGAAGAAAACTTTTCATGGAATCATGTAGTTCATTTAATGCCATTGCGAACAAAGTGAAATTATAATACTGTAGTAAATATAAAAATTCATATTTATAAAAATTGTANAAATGGCATAACTTTCCAAAGTATTAATTTTATTAGTAATAGTTTAATGTGAAATATTAAATTAAATTTACACAAGAATTTAATTATAAATTAATTGCTTTGTAAAGTAGTCGAGTGTAAATTATTTGATTCTTAATCCTGAACGTGAAGTTTTGAATGATGAAGTTAGAAACGGTTCAAAATTTTGTTTGTTCGATTTATTTTACCATAAAAAGAATTAAAATTTCACTGCACTGTATAGTGTTTATTTAAATTTTAGTTTGATAGGATAAGGGAACATAACACATCCCTCCTAGGACTTTCTATAGAAAATTGGCTCTATCTTAGGTGTTAGACACACGAAGAAAATCCGAAAAACTCCACGAAACGTGGCCAACCCATAGGTGAGGCGCGATCCCGTGACCGACTACCAGTGTTCAGTAGTTTTATCCAATTGGCTACTGGTGGGATTTTTTCGTCGTGAATATCTGAAACTACTCTAAAGGAAAATGCTGGAATAGTGGAATCTGTCTCCTATTGAGAATCATGGTTGACTCTTTCTGGTGGAAGCATAACGCATTTCTAAGCCGTAAACTACTGTCTACTGTATATAACAGATACTGTTTTTCATATATCGCTTTTACATTATCAAGAAAATCTAAAACAAATATACAAAGAATTTCTGATAATAATTATAAAAAAAAAATTCATTATTACTTTAATTTCATTTAAAATATTGAATAAATTTCAAATATTCATGAATGATTCAGTATTTCAACCTTACTAAAGAAAGAAAGAAAAAGTCTTTAATATTTTAAAAGCTAAGAATAAAGAAATGAAAAATTTAACTAGTGAGTCCAAATTCGATTTCCGCTCAGAGAGCATTTCCACAAGAAAAATTCCAGTTCTAGAAAAATTTTTTGCTTCTGTCATATTACTTCCCGGGTGGTTTCCTGACTGCTCTCTATAATAGTAGCAGTAGTAGTAGTAATAATAATAATAATTAATTTTAGTTTTGTTTTGGTTGCTATGCCTTGACTTTAGTCCGGCATAGTACACAGCCACCGGTGTGAACCGAGTATAACTCACAAAACCCAACATAATAATAATAATAACTCTCCCGTGGTCATCACCTGGTCGTGGTGGGAGAGCCCAGTAATTTTACTGATCCATAGGGCAATGCAGGCTGGAGCACAAGCTCCTGGTAGGGACATCCATGCCAGTAAGATCTATGGGGAGAAATGAAGCTAAGAGTGATCACACCCATATTCTGTGGAGATATTTAACATGGTAGTAACCAGAACAAAGTGTGATACCGGCTCGGACGTCGCCCGGGTTAACAAGATCCGCGTTTGTGGGTTAGGAAGAGGCTCACGTTCGAAAAATAGGCCACAGTCTCCCTTGGTTACCGGTGGTAAAAGCAGCGCCGGCCCAAGCATGGTTACTGCAATGCCCTCAACAGATGTGAGGAATCAACCTAGCCTTGGTGTTTCTGTGGCAATGCATCCACAGACCAGAAAGGCTGGAAAACCACGCCAACGGATGAAATGGACATCAGAAATAAACGAATTTATCATCCGTATTTACTATTCAATCACAAAACTCGAAACAAACATGACAGCATATAGACAACAACTACACCATAGATTCACACAACAATATCCTCACCTCACTGTCACCGAACAAAGGGTTGTTGATCAAAAAAGAACAATTATACACAATAACCTTATCCCACAAACAACACTTGAACTTATCAAACAACAGGTTTCTGATCAAATACATCAACAGACAGAAACATTTAACATTATTAATGAAGATAACGTAACCTTTCAGGATAATCCAGCAACAAGCATTGATAATAGCACACATACAACAACTACAACTAATGATACTACAGGCACCTCCTCATCCATAGCTGATAACATAGATATAGATTTAGTTAATACACTCTCACTTATATTTCAGGAAACACTCACTAAATATACAGGCACAGATCCCACACAAAGACCACGAATACCNACTACATTTTTGAAAGAGTTCCATGCTTCTTTTTCCTTTTCTCCCATTGTTTCCAAAAATCTGCTTTGTCTTGATCTCCAAGTTTCAATTTGAAATACGCAAATTAAACTTTCTTCACAAACTCACTTATGTTTCTTTGTTGACTTTTCACTGTGTATTCACCACAAACATAACAGAAGCTGTCAGGAGAAATTACACATCCTCTGCAAACCATATTCCAGAAATAAAAATACAAGCACAGTAGCGTTCAAATGCTGGATATAAACTGAGTGTGACATTAGATGGCCAGTGAGATACTGAACTTATTTAGCTTGTTGAAACATGATCTAATCCAACAGGTTGTTTATATTTATTCCTAGTATCCCAGATAACATATCGGAAACATGCTCAACCTCACCAATAACATTACTCACTGTCAACTTTTAACCTGTTTCTATATGATCATGCAACCTTCCTCCTAAGGCTAAAACTACTTAACCCCCTACCACTACTCTCTTCAACCATTAACGTTTTTATTTATTTATTGTCAAGTCCAGCTATAATTGATAGAATTAATGTGAGAAGTCTTTGTTTTAAGGCCATTCTTTAAATAAAAAAAAATACTAAATTTTAAGTTAACTAAAAATTTTATGTTAAAAACAGACAGCAACATTTAATATTATTAATGAAGATCATGTAACCTGTCAGGATAATCCAGCAACAAGCACTGAATGAATAAATAACATTAGATAGAAATTAGGCAGGCTGACACAATACATTAAAAACAACATAACACTCAAATTAAAGAAACAACTCAAAAGCATTTTCAAGAAAATCAAAACACACACAAAACATGAACATCACAACACACACATTACAGAATACATCGACACACTAAAACAGAAACTCACAGCCAAAGCACATAGACTCAAACGATACAAAACATGTACACTACAAAAACAACAAAATAAATTATTCACAAACAATGAAAAACTTTTCTACAGACAAATCAGTACCAAAACAAACACTGATACACAGCACAGTGGCACACCAACAGAAGAAGAGTTTATTGGTCTTCTCTTTGGTCCAATGCTGTTAAACACAATGTTGATGAAGACTGGATTGAGGAGGAGAACAGAAACTTGCATAACATACCAACTATGCCCTGTGCTGAAATAAATGTACACAACATATGCTATGCTGTTAACAGAACACACAACTGGAAGACACCTGATGTAGATAACAGTCACAATTTCTGGTACAAAAAATTTACATCATTTCACCAGGAACTAGCTAAACATCTAACACACATCATCATCAATCCACAAGACATGCCAAAATTTCTTACTCAGGGCATCACCTACATGAAACCTAAAAACAACACCACCACAGACCCCACACAATACAGACCAATTACATGCCTTCCAACACTACAAATTATTGACATCCTGCATTGCAAACAAAATATACAAACATGTTGAAGAACACGACATTCTTACAGAACAATGAAAAGGTTGCCGTAGAAATCACAGGGGATGCAAAGAACAGTTACTCATAGATTTAGTCATTCTATGGCAGGCACACAAACAACACAGAAACATACACATGGCATATATAGACTACAGAAAAGCATTTGACAGCGTTCCACCCAGTTGGCTGACACATATTCTTCACATGTACAAAATACATCCATCACTCATTGCATTCTTCCAAAACACTCTATGCAGCACTGGAGAACAACACTGCATCTCAGGGTTATAACACTTCCATACAAACAAACCAAATATTCATTAGGCAAGGAATTTTTCAAAGAGATTCCTTGAGTCCTCTTTGGTTCTGCCTAGCCCTGAACCCATTATCCAACATGTTAAACAACATGCAATATGGCTACAATATCAGACATGAAAAAACAACACAGTTTACACTCTCACATCTCATGTACATGGACGACATAAAACTTTATGCATCCACACAAAAACAACTTCATCAACTCCTACAAATCACACATTCATACACTAAGGACATACAAATGGAGTTTGGC